TTTCTATGATCAGCATTTGTGAGATCCTTCAGGCAAACTTACATCTACCAAGGGTACAACATCTACAGTTTTCAGGGGGGACAGATCTGGATTGGAAGGCATCCACACCGATGTCATTTTGGAGACAAGCAGAGGTCTTTAAAAACAAAACAAAACAAAAGCTGTTTAGCTTTTTTAATGGTTATTAATCTGTCTTATGTGAAGACTGTTTTTACATAATGGAGTTTTATTTTACGGCATATTTTCTGTAAAAATTATGCCATGGTGTTTTTAATATGTTATAGAAAGATGTTCTCACACTGTATTTGAAGGGTAGGATATAATAAACTACAAATTATGGTGACCTCCTGGGGTTTTCTTGGTGAGAGTTCTTCAGAAGCGGCTTGTTATTGCCTTCCCCTGAGGGTTTAATAATAAATCAAACAAATGCATAAATATTATTGCAAATATATGGACATAAAAGAGGCAATTTGGAATCTGATTTTGATTGCATGACCTGCAATTTCTTGCTCTCTAAATGTCCCTTTCAAAAACATTATACACCCCAATTTATAGAATTAATACCAGTAGTCTTGTGCTGCAGCAGATTATGATATATTATTAGAAGTGGCTAAAGTTTCTGTTATATCAGTATGGTGTATCTGCAAAATACACAAGAGCTATATACAAGAGCTGTGGAATCCCTCTGGGTGATCTTAGGCAAATCATACTCTCTCAGCCTCAGGGGAAGGCAATGACAAACCTCTTCTAAATAACTCTCATTGATAAAACCCTAGGACAGAGTCACTCTAATTTGTAGTTGACTTGAATGCATATAACAACTGTTCCAGATTTAAGGAAATATTTACTTGGAGTTATTCAAGGTGCTGGAGAGCCAGCATGGTGTGATGATTTAAACAAGCTACAGATCCGGTGAACAGAGTTTGATTCTCTGCTCAGCCAAGGAAACCCAACGGGTGATCTTTGACTCACACTCTCTCAACCTAAGAGGAAAGCAAATACATACTTTGGCAAATCTTGCTAAGAAAACACCATGATAGGTACACCTAAGGGTGTCTATAGATCATAAATAACTTGAAGGCACACAACAACATCATCCAAGATGCTAAGCCCACTTGAGTAATTGGTTTCATCACCTATGATAACTCAGGGCGACCCTATCATTTACCTGGAGCTATTTTAAGAGGAGGCAATGAATATCTCACTGCATTCAAGAAATACAAGACATATACAATTTAATTTTCCTTTAACCCTAATGCTCAATGCAATGGACCCTTCACATTTTCTGGGGTTAGGGGCACAGGACCCCTATGAAAATGGAAAGATTGCAAATTAAAAAAAAAACATTATTATTATTATTATTATTATTATTAGAGAGAACACCTCTCTAGGAACACCTCTCCAGGTCCTCTAGGGCAATTCTATGGTCAAGATCTGCCGGAAGTTGACCATGAAATTGTGTTGGAGGACCTACAAATGCCTATAGAAGTGTTCTCTCTAGGAATCTCTAAATCGTCCAGCATGACTTTTGGCAGAAGTTGACAACAGAATTGCACTGGAGGACCTAGTGAGATTCCTAGAGAGAACATATTAATCAAATCTATGAATAATCAAATCCACCAAAGTCAAAGCTTCAAATGTGGAGGGCCAACTGTACATTAAAATTCTTATGAAGTAAAAACAAAAAACAAAACCTACCCAAAGATCAACTCAATGCCATTTTTATAATGAGGGTTAAATGACCATGTCAGGAAAAGCCTAGCCTAGAACCTTTATCTTCCTTGGCATGCAAGTGTGTACTCTTGCAAAAGATGAAGGGAGAAAAAAAAGTAAAAAAGGTCAGCAATGAACAGCAATAAAAGGCCTAAAATTCATTTTGATGGGACAGTAACACGTTTAATTAATTACATTGGCAAGAGCCCACCTCTGCAATTATCTTGTTTGGCCTTGATGGTTGCTCTTCTCCAGAATTAAGCTTTCCAAATGCTCCTGACCTTGTGTGATGTTAAAGGCTGCTGTGTTCAAAACAGATGGGCTTTTGCTAATTAAGGCTGGCTCTATCTGTTTCTGATGGAACAATTTTATTAATGATCTCTCTGTTTCCAGAGTCCCCATTCAGGAGGACTTGAGAACTTCACTTGCACTTTGGGTTGTGTCTGGGATTCATATCAACAGTGCTGAAAACTTTTCCTTATGTCTATAGTTTAGAAAGACCTGTCAAACTGTGCAAATGTGCCACAGAAATAGCAATAAAAGGTGGAACGGTATTAATCTATATCAAAGGAAAGCAAAGACAAAAGGACAAATGGATATAAATTGGTCATGGCTGCAGTGGTTTGAGTGTTGGACTTTGACTCTGGAGTCTAGGGTTCAATTCCCAGCTTGGCCATGAAATCTACTGGGTAACCTTCAGCAAGTCACATGCTCTCAGCCTCAGGGGAAGACAATGCTAACCTCCTCTGAACAAATCTCACCAAGAAAACCCCATGCTAAGGGCCAACTTAGCACCACCATAAGTTGGAAAC